CGGTTTTCGTCGTGAAATCGACCAATTTCGGACAATCACCCTCAAAATAATTGATGAAATTGTTTCGGGACCCATCGACAGTAGAAAAGTAGAAACTTGAGGCGAAAATAATGAAAAAAAACGGCTGTTACGGCCCGACCTGATTTCAGGTCGGTAAAATATGGTAACTCGCATAGGATGGAACTGTAGCTCCCTGGTTTCGCATTAACACCACGACGAACAAAATAACCGACAGCGAAACCAAGCGAGCTACAGAACTGCAGCTAGTAAAATACATTGTTTACATGAAATTCGACCACTCGTTGCGCAACGCCCACCGCCCTTTAATTATGAATGAATGATAATTCATTTGTTACTGTGATATAAGAATTCATCTTTTACTATATTATTGCAAAGACTCCAATAAAGCTATATACATTATATCACTGCAAATTTAGTATCAACCAGGACATTCCATATCTAGGAAAATTGACAGTGTTCATCTTATATAGTGATTGGTACTGACAATATTTATTTTACCTCCAGGTTTGCAAGTACTATCTTGTTGATTTCTGTCCTCATGAACTGTTCATTAACACCAGGTCTGATTTGGGTAAGTTTTACGCCACCTTTATTACAGTGTTGATAGGTAGATACAATGGCCATAATGAATTTCACTGTAACCTAGTGTCGTAGGGACCTAGAGATATTTTCAATGTTACCAAATGTTGTCACTGGTGAAATTTGCGAAAAATTTGTATCTTGCGAAATGAGTGGTTCACAGTAATTATGCCATGTATTGGATTGTCTTAATTTTCTTTGGTGATTATCTTTGTAGGGCCGTGTGAAAAGTTACATGATGACGCCTTGAAGAAAAAGTAAGTCATACAGTGTACTGTTCTTGATTCATGTTTAGCAATCTGGGCTCTCTCTGGAATTGGCTAGGTAATAGTAAATTTACTAATCAAGAAAAAAAAGTATTAGTAAACTTTGTCTGGAAACTGCGGAGCATTTTCCCGCGACCGAGCTCAACATGAAAGACAGAAGGAGAGGGAGGTGTCCCCTCTGTCGTCCGTCGAAAACAAGAACAGCATGCTGAAAATGGTGCTTGTTGGTGCAACCTGAGCTCTAATTTTGTGTGTAATTTCATGACATCAAATTAGGCAGTCTGCTCCACAAAATGTACCATTTATGAACCTTTATTTGAATAACTTAGTATTAATTAAACATATTCATGATAAGCTCACATTGTTAACAGTGGGGAAAATAGTCATCATTCAAAAGTTCATTAAGTTCACTGCCTAGAACACAAGTCATCCTGTGAATAAATTTTCACGGGAGATTACTTCATAATAATATTGATTGGCATAGAGTTTTTTTCTGAGAAATTTCCTGTGAAAATTTCGATGAAAATAAATAGTCATTTTGTGTCGTCATAAACGTCATGCAAACCTGCATGTTGA